ACGGAGCAGGGCCGAGTAGAGTCGAGTCTATCGATTTGCGCTATGGTAGCATTGAGCAAACGTTCAAATTGTTTGGCCAATTTTTATGTAAAATTGAGTTGAAATGTTGTGATTTTTGTAGTGGTTTATGGTCAGATGTGGAACAATGATGTTGTGGACTTGAGTAACTTCTACCATCTGCTAGGTTACGGTCGCAGTCTGAAGCGGCTTTGATTTGGATCACACTAGCTTGTTTCTTACGACCCGCCCTTCTCTGCTTCTGATTGGCTAGTAGTCCTTACCTGGGAACTGCGCATGTGCAACTCCTACCAAAGATTTTGTACAAGTAAGATGCGTCACTCTGTAGCTCAAGAGCGCCGCGTACAACACATAGGGTGAAAAGAGGAGCTGCAGCAATGTGCAGTATGAGAAAAATATGGTGTTTTTTGAAAAATAAACCATGTAAACCTGTTCTGGTACAACCCCTAATTAAGATTTTGAACCTGAAAATGAGCATAATACCACCTCTTTAATTTGAATCAGAATCAGAAATAATTTATTGATCCCCAAGGGGAAATTCTGTCAGTTGCACACATTGCACAAAAGGCAAAAGGAATATAAATAAAGATCGGTATATATAAAAGTATATAAATATCAGAGTAAAAATATAAAATACAAGAAAATATAAAGGAGTGTGGATATGTACAATATTAACATAACTAAAGCAATTGTTATGGTGAACAGTAATGATGAATAAATAGTAGCACCAACACTACTAAAATGCTACTAACTTTGTGTTGGTGTTACATTTTCAGTTGTTCAAGGCTCAAACCCTAAGTTTAGAATGAGGGACAAGACTTGTACTTAAGTGTCAAGACTTGAGACGTCTTTGTGACTTGCAAAACAGCAACCTGGACATCTGCCATTAACAAAACAAAGCCTCTGCCAATAACTGCATACAAGACTGGCAATCTCTACTGTTCCAAGATGCCAGGGAGGCCAAGAATGGACAGACAGCAACAAGATTTATGAGAAATCATCTTAATTTTGCAGACTAACAAAAAAGCACTGGCACGAGATAGCAGGCTCTATTTGTCTTGACCTTGGTTTTATTTGTTTACAGGAATTATAGAGTGAATGATGTGTGGCTGATGATGATGTCAGTTAAAGGCATTCAAAGTAGGGCTGGGCAATAAAACGATGATAATAATCGCAATATAATTTTCCTCAATAACAATATAATAACTGTTCAATATATCGTCAATAAATATTTGGTTTAATTCATCTGAATCACAGACAAATTAGCACTTAATTTTTCTATTAAAATATTTATTTTGTTGAAGAAAGGGGACTGAAAAAAGATTTACTAATCTTATTTGTTGAAAAAGATTTTATCATAATAGTTTTGAATGTTCTACCTCAGATTTGTTAAGTGACCCACTGTTTGGCATGAAGTGTTTGTCACATTCTGAGAAAAGTTTAACCACATAATTAACCATCTGGTTTCAAAAATCAGCCTTTAAACTTAAAGAAACTAAAACTAAATACATATATCATTATAATTATCAATACCTGAATGAAATTAAATGTTTTTATTGTGATAACATTTTTGGCCACATCGCCCAGCCCTAATTCAAAGCACTGTGAGTAATGCCTCAAAGTAAGAACTTATGCAATATAATGTAGCTCATTTAGTCATCTCAAATACACTCCAGTAACACCAAATCGTGATGATTATCTGCATCACACTTTGCCAAGGCTGCTTTATTTTGTAGTTGATAGAGTGAATTATTGTCTTTTCATTAACTCCTCTCAAACCTCTCATCACTCACTTTATCTTGCTCATTTTCCTCCTCTCACAACCGCTCTGACTCTCCTTTACACAACCTTTAACCTCCCACACTCTTTCCCTTGCCTCCTTAACTCTTTTATTTTCCTTTGTTGCAGTCTCTCCATCCTACATTTCTTCACTTCTGCAACGTGACACATTCTGAACCTTCATGCGCAGCAAGGTTTCTTGGCCTGCAGTGGGCCTTTGCTACAGTGTAGCAGAATTGCTCACTGGCTGCATTATCCAGTAACATGCTCTAAAAAAGGAAAGAAAGTGTAATCGGGCGGGCAGCCTGTGTGCACTGAAGCTTCAGCTTGTATGGTTGTATCAGAGACTCTAATAAGAACAGACAATAGTCTTCTGGAGGAGAAAAATATCAACCTTATTTTCAGGTACACACTCAGGAAGGTAAACTTTCACTGACCTGAGCCAAGAGTTGTGAAACTCCTTGACAGAGACAGAGAGAGCCTTACTGTCTCATTGGGTTTTTCTCTGCCTTTAACTGAATGAGTAACTGTGCAGTCTCAGCGTCTGCTGTGGAGTTAACTCACTTACCTAAGTACAACAGCAAATACATGTCCTGAAGCTATACTGTCAGTCTCCAACATACAGAAGCAAACAGGACAAAGTCCAGGTTGCATCCAGGCCAGAGAGCTGATGGAAGAAAAGTGCGCCATACCTAAGATCAGTTTTAGGTTGGTTTTTCCCAGTTCAGTGCCTTGTTGTAGCAAGTTACTTTTTAAGGGGATAAATAAATCTGGCAACTTCTTTTGTTTAGATCTGCTGGTTTTGAGTTATCTTGGCATTTACTTTCTTAAAACCTTAAAGGGGTGCTACAGCGAAATTAATTTTTTTTTTAAGTTGGGGGACACAAAATAAGAGATTGTTCAGAATGAATGTAACAGAGGACCAGTAATCAATGTCTATAAAAACTGGTTCCTACAGTTCCCATAATGCAACCAGTACCATCTGTTGTTAGGACTTCCCTGCCTGATAAAGACCTGCATCTTTAAAACTCCTCACCTAGTTTGGAGCACTCGCTTTCTATAATAGAGTTTATAAGTTTATAACGTATTGTGTTAAATTTGTGGAATTCCCCTTATATTTAAGCCAAAGTACTGAAAGTAGTTTGAAGGTATTTTTAAGCTTTACTTACTCTAATTCAAATTTTGTAATGAATGGCTATTGTTTTCTGTCACTTTCAACTATTTATTTATTTTGACAAAAATCCTCTCATGAATGAAATTAGTCTACTCACACCCAGCCACCGCTAAGGCCACTGTCTAGATTTATAAAAAGAAGAACAACCTTTCATGCAACAGAAATGGAACTTTCAGATGCTTGCACGCTCATTTAAGGAGAAATTGTCTGAATTAAATATTTACTCATAAAATTCATATAATTACTATCAGAATTATCCATCCATCTAATACAGTACATCTTGTGCAGGGATCACGTGGGCTGGATCCAATCTCAGCTCAGGAGAGAGGCGCGGTGCACCCCGGACAGCTCACCAATCAGTTATAAAGCTCAATGCATGTAGATACTGGATAGCCACAATTTCCAGTGCCAATGACTGCTCATTAAATTAGTTATTATTTTCAACAGTGTTTTAGGGGTTTTGTAACTGCAATGATGAACAGTTTTCCTAATGGTTTACTAAAGCCACCATCTGAATTTTAAAAACTCATTAAAGACCACACATGTTACAGGTATACAACTTTTAGAGGCTGTTAAGCCCACATAAGCAGCTGTTATAAACATAATTTTAAAAAAGATATACTTTCCAGTATCCTATTCATTATGCTCACAAACCTTGTGAATTAAGATTTAAGACACAATCTATATGCAAGGTTATTGTAACCTCTATATGGCAACATTGCTGCAGTAAAACCAGGTTGTTGTATTGCTACTTGCAGCTACATGATATTTTTATTATGTTGTTTGTATTGTTATTGTTTTACTGACTGCTCACTTGCCATTTGCACTAATGCAAAGCATTGTTGCAGTGACCAATGTAATCAGTCGCTCTCCATCTGTGTAGCTTTTACCCATCAAGGCAATAATTTTCATTGTATTGAATTCATAGTGGCTTTGCCACATTGTTCCAAAATCACACAGTCACTGTGAAAAGAGCTTTGCATATTTTATATATTTCAAAGTAACAAATTCAACCAACCATAGGCACAGAAGTAATATGTCCATGACCCCAGCTTAATCATGGCGAAAGAGGTTCATGAGGTGAAGTTAAATTTGCTTGCATCAACATTTACATGTAGGTACCTCCAATGACCCATGAGAGTCTTATGGGAGGCCCATTTATTGCTAAACCTCAAATAACCTGCCAGTGCAAAGGTTATAACCAGAGTGGAAAGCTGGAAATGGTGAAGTGTGGAGAGGTAGCATGCTAAGATTAATTAATAATCAAACCCAGTAGGTGGGACAGGTTGAAAGGTACATGCAACAATGCATTTTGCTGTAGAGTGAGTGTATTCTAAGCGTTTATGAGACCTCGGGACAAAAGTGCTTAGCCTAATAATCAGACCTGTTCCTTTAATCAGTGGGTGGGAGATATACTTTGTCGGTGTCTGACAGCCGTGTTGCCTCTCCTGAATCTCAAGTCGTTCAGATAGTTAAGTCAAAGCAAAGATTAAGCAGTGCTTTCTGAAGAAGGAACTGGCAGAGCGTCAAGCCTGCTGAGGGAAGTTGGGTAACTCATACATCTTGTTGTAGAGCAGATTGTGCTCGGTGGGGGATGCACCTGGCATGTTTAACCCCACTGCCCAGGGCTCCTGTGAAATAAGAAGGGCATGAGTCCAAAACTCTGCTTTTCAGTGCCTATCATTCCTTCCATGCTGGCTCGGAGGACTTTTTCCTCATTGCCACTACATCAGAGCAGATAATGTGATGGATTTGTGTGGAGTGGCGCCGAGTTTCTCATATGTATTATAATGTCAAATTAAAAAATAAGTAGAGACCCTTGAGAACAGAAGGCACAAATTGAGACGTAGCATCATGCCACAGTGCTAAGCATAATTTAGTAGCAGCTGCTCAGTTTAAAGAAATGACAAGTTAAGATTGGTGACAGATTTAAATGGCAAACTACTTACATCCTTAACGCCATAAATAGGAATGTTGAATGCATTTTCATACATTTTCAATTATATTTTCCCCTTTTTCTCCATCCAAGGAGCACTAGAGACAGCGACGCCGAGGATGAAGACGACGAGCGCAGGGTGAGTCGAGGCTGCACCCTGCAGTACCAGCGGGCCCTGGTCAAGGTGCTGACCCAGTTCCACACCACCTCCACAGAGGGCACCGACCAGGTCATCACGATGCTGGGGCCCGATTGGCAAGTGGATGTCACAGACCTGGTCCAGGACTCCCTGAAGGTGGCCGACCCCAGGATAGCTGAGTTGGTGGACAGGACGGTCTTGGTGGGTCTGGAGCTGGGATCCACTGTGCTGAAGGTAAACTGACCGCCTTCATTCCTCAATGCCGGGAATTCACATAATTCAGCAACAACAAATTAAGTGTCTTGTGATGACAAATGATGCATCTGAGTGAGAAGCGTGAAAGCGGGCATGGTGTTTCTTGAATATAACACAGGAAAATTGTGTGCATATACAATTACAGTACATCAGAGTTGAACCCAGAAGACATTGGATAAACTGCGATGGATGGTTGCAACAGACAGTTCGGGTTGTAATTTTACTGTTCAGCTTTTATTTCTCTTTGAAGTAAGTTTGCCTAACCTGAGATTTTGTTTACAACCTGTCTGATGGTTTGATTGCTTGGGTTTCTTTTTGCCGTGTTCCCAGATCTTAGAAATTAACTTCATGTCACATTCATACCACTGTTTTTCCCTTTCGTCCTTCTTTTTCACATTTTGTCTGCAAGTGTTCAACAAAAACCTCTTAGTCTCTCAGTAAGTATATGCTGCTGTTGATGAGCACTTCGCTCAAGTAGAAGAGCTCCCTGACGTAAAGTGCATATAAATGCATCAGCTAAGACAGGTTCGCAAGTCCTTATAAAGGAAGCAGTACAAGTTATGACTCCTGGGCAGTGATTTACTGATGCTTCACTGGTCATTTATGGGGACAGAGAGAAGTAACGGTTGTGAGAGTTTTGATCACCATGAAAGATCACAGTTCCAGCCTGTCGGGAGAAAGAATAGTTGCCTGATGGATGTGTCTGATGATGGAGCAATAGGGAGGAAAGATATAAGTTGCCAATCCATCATTTTAAATGAGCAATGGATCATTTGAAATCTGTTGAAGGGTATGAATAATTATACATCAATTTACCACCAGACGTAACTTGCCACATTGACTCATAGCAATTGTAAATAAATAAATAAGGTGTTGAGAAATTATTTCATCCCTCAAACAACTTGAACTTGATCTCAAATAACATGCTTTAGCTTGTCTGGAGATGTTAGATTACTCAAAACTAAGATAATTACAGTTATCTAGAAATGAAAATATGGATTTTCCATTAGGTAGCCCTCAGGCTCCCGTCTCATCTAATAATATTACATTGTGTTCAGTTTAATTCAGATATCAATTAACTATTATTCAAAGGTCATCGAGACTAAGACTAAGTCTATGGTTAATATTTAGTCAGAAATATTAGCTAAATATTGGACCAATTGAAATTTTAACATGATGGGGATAGAAGTAAAGTCAGGGGCTCAAAATTCACAATTACTGTTTGTACCAAATTTCATAGCAATCCATCCAGTAGCTGCTGAGATTTTTCAGTCTCGACCAAAGTGGTGGAAAGACTGGTCTCCACAGAGCCGTGCAGCTAACATGGATAATAAAAATAAGGTGTATGCAGCCTTTCTTAATTACCGGTAAATTTACAGATGGACGTGATTCCTCGTTTACTCAGTCATAAATCAAAGTTACCTGCAAGGCATCACTTCATTATGTTTAAGTCAAATGATCACTGGTCACTGAGACCAAACTTCAGCTGCCTCCTTGACCTGCAGCTCAGTCCCAGTAGGTATGCATGCATGAAACGTGCAAGGCTACTTAAAGTCTCATGTTAAAGCACCACGAGGGAAACCGAAATTAGATCTCTGTGGAATCACTATCCATTCAACACGAATTTTCGATGGCTTACAAAACTCAAATTACAAAGAAGTTACAGTAAAAGATCCCCAGTTTGCAGAGCCTATTTTACAATGAACAGTGAAATTATTATGCAGATTTTCTGAAAATGAACAGAATATAGCTCGACAATGGTCCTCTTACTGAAATTCTTGGTCTGTCCGAGGATTTGAATCAGTCGTTGAGTCTTGGGGGACTGATTCAAATTGTCCACCAGCTCATGAATATGAATAAAGAAAGGGAGCAGCTTTTGTCCATTTAGTTTAATTTCTCTTTTTTTTTAAAGGATTATTGCATGAACTAAGTTTATCTGTTACATTTGACAGGTCTATTTAATTGAAGACACAGAATAGAAAATATCTGAGATTTCAAGGTTAAACTATAAAGATAGCAGATCTTAACTACTCTGTAAAGGGTATATGTCCTCTGATTACATGGCAGAATAATGACTTTCTAAGAATTCACCGAACCTGGTGGGAGTTGTGGGTTTTATCCAAAGGATTACTGAACAATAGCAGCTTCTCAAAGAGGAAAACCAGACTCGGACTGAATTCACTGTTAGTCCTCTTATCAGAGATTATTCAATTAATATCTGCAAACATCAACTACTCTTCCAAAGACAGACAGTGGAATAGAATAGACTTGAGTCTAATTGACAGAATCTTTAATCTCACCAGAAAATAGAAGTTTAATATTTAACATACAGTGTATAAAAAGTGTAGTATTTTTCTCAATAATGTGATCCCCATTTAAATGTTAACGTCACTGGATGATATAAATGGAAATATGAAAATATTGTGTCGCTCAAATAACACTAGCTGGAGCTTTATTGTGTAAAAATGCAGTACAACAAGATCCACCCACAACAAATCTAAATTGTATACCGTGATCAGACTTATTATCATCTATGAAACTTTGAAAGATCCTCACAGTTTCACCAAATACAATGTCCAAATCCTCCATCTATTGATTCAACATCAAAATAAAGGCCTCTCTCTCTGTACATACATACAAAATGTGACTCTTATAAGCCTGTAGCTGAAAATGGATACATGACCACATCATCTAATGTGACTGTAAAGTCCCGCATCACAACCTCTGTCCAAAAATGTCAGATCCACGAGAGGTCTTATGACCTAGGGCATTTGTCACGTGTCACTCCTCATCTTTTTGTTTCACCATATTTCGTCTGTCTAATAATGTCCTTTGAGAAAGTAATAGTTTTATTGGAGTGACTATCAGGGACAGACTCTGCAGTTTGCAGGGGGGTGCAGAGGTTTATTTTGCAGCTGTTGCACCCACTTACTTTGTAATGTGGGGAACTGTGTAATTGCCTGAAAGTTTACAGGATGGTAAAAGTTGAAAGTGGGGGTCATGTTTTCATTTTTCACTCCGTTTCAAGAGGTATTGCGTTTGTATTTCATCAGTTCATCCTCTTGGAAGAGAAGCACTTTGTATTTTGTGCAAACAAGCATAAAGAGGCAGGATACATCTTGGTGCTCGTCAATGTTAATTACACTGATGGAAAGTATAATGAAAAATGCCCATCATTTCTACAAGATGAAGGCTAGAGCTTGTAGAAGTCAAAGCGTAACCAGACTAAATTGATCTGTCACTTAAGTCCACAAAAAATGGAACACTGTTCAATTTGCTAAAGCTCTCCTTCTGAATAGTAAATTGTGTTTTGTTGGGAGTTTTTTTTTTTTATTGATGTTGCCTACAGGTAATGTCTGATGCTGCCTGTCAGATGCTTCACATGTGTGCTACTTATTAAATCCATTTTAGCAAACAACAAAAATGTGAATGTAATTTACAATTAAGTTTAATTATATATATAATATGATACATGACTGCTCTTAATGTTCTGTATGCCTTGATTTGTACTTCCAGAATGTGAAAAAATAACTATATTTATAGAATGCACAAGGAACACATTTTTGTTTGTTTTCTTATTTACACACCAAGAGAATTCCCAACCGGATGAAGCTGTGTGTACAGTATGTTTCTTAAAAACAAAGATAAAAACTACACTATGCGTCTTCACACTATGGCGGTCCCAAGTGGCAGGAAGAAAAGACTGTTTGAATTTGAATTTCAGAAGTGTGAAGTGCTTTCAATATGCTGGGTTCATATAATTTCACATTCTGTTTGATAAGATTTCCCACCAGTCTCCCAATCAGGCGCAAGACATTACTTCTGGGCATACAGTGTAAATCTACAGTGTCTCAGTTAGTGGGATGACGTACTCTTACTGCTGCTCAGCTTTGTGATTTAGATGTACTTTTACATATAATCTTTCCCAGTGCAACTTTAACTTTCAACCTGCAAGAGTTTCTTTTAGTGGAATAAAGCATAATCAAAGTCTAACTGAAGGCTTAAATTACCTTCTGCAGAGCATTATGACCTATGGTGAAACAGGGCATAGCTTTCAGTTCTAAAAAATGTATAAATTATACCTTATTAAGGACTATTTAAAGTGGCGTTCACTTCAAACTGATATCTGTAATTTTTACCTGAAGGGGTACTTGTTTTCCTCAGGTGCGTTTCTGCGACAGGAGACAGTATAAAGTACCCATGAAATCTGCGGCTTGCATGAATAAATCTTCCACTGATATTCTGTTGTACCACACACCAAAAGTATGATTTATTGAATGCAAGGTTGAAGAAGAGAAGAGTGTAGTAGAGAGAAGATAATATAGTGTGGTGCAAGGAATATGCACTAGCTTGAGTGAGTGCTCACCCATGTTTAGTGAAGAAACTCTGCCGGTCAGTGTCAATCTGCTTGGACTCATCATTGATCTTCTATTTGCCTTAAGCATAAGTGAAATAGTGCTGCAGCTTCCTGTGAAGGCCACCAACACTGTGCCACGCACAGCTATGCACAACCGAATGCTCAACAGTGACTGATAGAGGAGCTCCTATTTGAAGAACATGTAAAGTGTAACTACTTTCATGCTTCACTTAACCTCCCCTGCCTGCAGCACCGATGACAAATTCAACTGGGAGCTGGGCTGGAAGGAGCTACACAACTACAGCTGACCTCGCTGGCAGACAGAAATGCAGATGACAGACATGGAACACATTCATCATTCATTAGTTGGTGTAGCTATGAATCAATATTCATTCTACATTGTTATATTTGGTCAAAATAGCTCTAAAGGGGAGAAAGTATTTTCAAAGTAAAAGGGACAGGCTTATTTCAAGACGTTATCGTTTGCCACCATTTTCCCTGTCCAATTAGGATTTTAAATTAACCACATGATTCTTATTGGGAATGAAATTGGCTTGATTATTTGTAACATGAATCAGCTTTTTCTTAAAAACACAGTAAAATATGTGGTCAGGTTGACATG